ATCAGGTTTTACCTACGCGTTCTCGTTCCCTAGGAAACGCTATTCGACATTGCAGCGGGGAGAAGGGCTGGCTGCCCCCGGAGCTCTTCAACTGCACCTCCGTCTCCTTCACGGACCTCAAAGTCCTGGTAGGCTGGCGCCCAGGGACGTGAGTTCAGCTGGGTTGTGTCGTGTGTGCACGTGTGTATGTGTGAGAGGTGGGGTTCCAGGGTGGGCAGACAGGATTGCTACTCGTTTCCGGGACTCAGAGTGTCAGCACTGGCACCTGAGCTGGGCACCTCGCACACACGTCTCCTGTCCACACGCCCAGCTCTGCATCTTAGGTTCTGAAAATGTGGAGTCCCACGTTCGTGCTTGCCCTCTGCTCTTGCCCTTTTTTGTGGCATTTTATTCTCCTTCACCTGCTTGGTGTCTTTTTTCCAGCACTCTTTGGCCCAACAGACCCTCCATTTTCATGCCACAGTAGTCAGCTCTGGGTTTTTGGATTCTCTAAGTTGCTTTGTGACAAGGAAACTTCCACCAGAAAGTAGTGACTTTCTGAGTAATAGGAAGGACCGAAAGCAACCGAAGTAGGTTTGCAAACACAGCGACTGCTTCCCTGCTCCAGAACGAGAAGCTGAGCCGCAACGAGACGCAGCTGGACAGTGACCGGTCCCTGCGGCTGGCGAAGGCGCTGCAGAATGCCACGCGGCACACGGGAGCGCTCTTCGGCAACGACGTGCGCACGGCCTACCAGCTGCTGGCCCGCGTCCTGCAGCACGAGAGCCACCAGCAGGGCTTCGACCTGGCGGCCACGCGTGACGCCGACTTCCACGAGGTAGGGGGGTGGCCGCCCCGCTCAGGAAGCCCGGCCCAGGGTCGAGCTGTGGAGCTGGGCGTCTAGGAGGGCGGGAGTCGACGGTGGGCTTGTGCAAGATCATTGTGTCCGGGACCTCAGGGCAGCGCTTCATGTTTTGAGTGTGAGCCTGGGCCAGTACGGCCCTGTCTGAACTGATCACGAGTGTCAAGGAGTATCTCGGCAAGAGAGCGTGCGGGTCACAGCCGTAGTGATAGTAATGACCGCTCGCAGATACGGACCCGCAGGTAATTGCCAGACAGTGTTCTAGGTGGTTTCCATGAAGTAGCCGCCTGTTCCTCCCACACAGCCTATGACATAGTGCTGTTACCACACACTTGACAGGTAAGGAAACTGAGGCACAGGGAGCCAAGGGCATGGCTTATAGGGGTGGGGCCAGCAGTGGGCCTTCCTTAACATCTTGGGGTGTATGTGGTGAAACCCCTGGCAGGGCCCCCTCCAGGAAAGTCTGTGTCCTTCAAAACTAAATCACCCACGATCTCTTCCCCTGATGCTGGTCCAGCTTGGTCTCGGTGACCGCTAAAGGCTCTCTAGGACCTGGCTTGCTGCTGTCATGTGGCCAGGCCTCTGCCGGCACGAGGCTGAGCGCTGTCTTTCTGGCCAGGATGTCATCCTCGCGGGCAGCGCCCTCCTGGCCCCGGCCACCAGGGCCGCGTGGGAGCAGATCCAGCGCAGCGAGGGAGGCGCGGCCCAGCTGCTGAGGCGCTTTGAGGCCTACTTCAGCAACGTGGCGCGGAATGTGAGGCGCACCTACCTGAGGCCCTTCGTCATTGTCACCGCCAACATGAGTAAGGGCCACACGCCAGGGGACGGGGAGGGGCATGCCCTGATGGATATGCTTGGTGGGCAGAACCACGGGACCGTCTGTGGTGTGTGGCCACAGCAGCTGGCCCGTCCCAGGGGCGAGGCAGCTGGGGTCTCAGCCCCAGCTCAGCCACACTCTCAGAAAAGTGGGTCAGTAGTGCTGGCCTCTGTTCCTTGTCTGTAAAATGGGGAGAACATAACCCTTGTCATTGGGAACATGTCACTCCCAAGGGACAGGTCTCAGGCATGGGAGATGTTGGGTCAAGGTACAACCGTGTGAACTTCGGGGTCTGGCAGGCCTTGCAGACACTCAGGGGTGACAGACTCTCTAGGAGGTTGTGTCGAGGGTCCCGCTGCGGTCCAGCCCTCCCTGGCACACAGGGACAGGTACAGACGCACAGTGGGATGTACAGGGAAGGGCGGGCGCAGGCACCGGGAAGTGGGAGGAACTCAGGTCCTCTCTGGGCCAGGAGCTGAGCAGTCACAGAGCCAATGCCCCATGACCTGCGTCACCCTGAGAGCCCAGGACACGCTGTTGTGGGGTTGGGGTATTTAATAGGGCAGGTTCCTTCAGGCAGGTGGAGAAAGCCCCAGGATGGTAGAGTACGTCCCTACCTCACCCAGACAGAGCTGGCAAGAGCCCTAAGGTCCCAGGGGGTGGGGTACATCGTACAGGTGGGGGGTCCTCCCCCACCCCTCCTGCAAGTGCTTGTGAAACGCCTGTGTGGGAGGGGCGCTCGGGCAGCACCGGCAGACTGTCCCTTCCAAGGGAGCAGCTTCTTGGTTTTTCCCAGCAGACTTACCCCGGTATCTATACGAGAAGGACCTGGGCCTTGGCCGCAGCTCAGGGTTGGTGGCACCCCCTGACATGAGCCTTCAGGGGCTCCGGCCCCCACCTTCCCTACCTTGAACATTCTAGCACTCTCACACCTCCCTGACTGCGCAAGCCCAGTCCTTGCTCCCGCAGGTGGCTTGAGGGGCACCTGTCATATTGGGGAGTGCTGATGGGACAGGAGGACTTAGGGAGTCCCTCAGCGCATGCAGAGGTGACCGTCTGTCTCTGTCATCAGGCTGCTCAGAGCCATGCCAGTCAGCACCAACTGAGAGACACCCTGACAGCTTCAGGCTCAAAAACTTCCCTGACCCCCCAAGGGCTGCAGGAAAATGACATGTTGGTGCGGCAGGGGCAGGGTCTTGCCCCATCAGGGCCCCAAGCTCACTGATGCTGCGATGCCACAGAGGATCATCCAGTGCCACCGGGGTTGCTCACTCACCCTTGGGTGCTCTGCCGTGTGACTCCTGGTGGGTTTAAAGGACACAGACAGACATAGATTCTGTTCTAAAGGCAGCTGGTCTCTGTCAAAAGGACAGTGGTGGTGGTTTTGAAAACGGTTAAGGTTTGAGAAAGCTCTGGGAGTCATGTGCGATTAAACAAACTGTCCCCCAGTCCTTGCAGTTGACGTCTTCAACAAGTTTAACTTTACGGGAGCCAGGGTGCCAAGGTTCGAGGACATTCGTGATGAGATCCCGAGGGAGCTGGAGTCCTCAGTCTCCTTCCAAGCTGACTTCTTCAAGCCGCCAGAGAAAAAAGGTAACATCACCATTGTGTGGCATCTGTCACTTTAAAAAAAATTGTGGTATGGGCCGGCCCGGTGGCGCACTGGATAGTGCGCCGCTTGGGAAGCGCAGCGGCGCTCCCGTCCGAAGGTTCGGATCCCACATACGGACCGGTTCCCGCTCACTGGCTGAGCGAGGCGCGGGGGCAACACTGAGGGTTGCGATCCGTTGCCGGACACGGAAAAAAGACAAAAAGACAAAAAAAAATAAAAATAAATAAAAATTTAAAAAATTGTGGTAAAATACATATAACAAGAAACTGACCATCTTTACCATTTTAAGTGCACAGGTGAGTGGTGCATAAGCAATTCACACCGTCGTGAAGCCCATCTCCAGAACACCTGTCATCTTGCAGATCTGAAACCCTGTCCCTACTAACCTCCGACCCCTTTCCCTGCCCTGCCCCGGCCCCTGGCAGCCAGCCTCCCCTTTCTGTCTGTGCATTTGATGAACCTCCATTCCTCGTGTATGTGGAACCTCACGTCGTCTGTCCTTTTGTGACCGGCTCATTCCACTCAGCATAAGGTCCTCGAGGTTCGTCTGTGTGGTAGCAGGTGCTCAGAGTTTCCTTCCTTTTTAAAGCTGAGTGATAGTCCGTCGTGTGGGTAGCCTGCATTCTGTCTGTCCATCTGTCAGTGCACATTTGCTTGTTTCTATCTGTTGGCTGCTATGAACAGTGCTACCAAGAACATGGGTGTCCGGACACCTGTATGGGGCCCTGCTGTCAATTCCTTTGCACATATGCTCAGCAGCGGAATTGCTGGATCATATGGTAATTCTGTGTTTAATTTTCGAGGAGCCCTGTGGGGCACCGTTTTCCGTAGGGCGTCTGTCGGTCTTTCAGAAGCACCTGCTCAAGCTGACAGTGATCCGGGGGGAGCACGGGTGTTCCTGCCCAGGTGCTCACGCCCTGTGCTCACCTTGCAGAAGGCCCCATGGTGTGGCCGGCCAGCCGGAGGGCCACCCTGCAGACCACGCACCCAGGGCCCAGCGCCCAGAGTGAGGCCCCGTTCAGCAGGCGGAGGAGACACCCAGACGACCCCGGCCAGTTTGCTGTCGCCCTGGTCATCATTTACCGGACGCTGGGGCAGCTGCTGCCTGAGCACTATGACCCCGATCGCCGGAGCCTCCGGTGAGGGCCTGTTCCCAGAGGGTCCTGAAGCTTTCACAAGTCAAAATCCTGGTCACCCACACATCTTTACAGTGACATTACACCGTAACCCTGGCCCAAGGGCAGAGACCACCGCCCTGTGGTGTCCCTTGGGTGGAGGTTCTGGGCCTGCCAGGAAGGCACAGTGCCTGGAATACTGCTTACCCTTGGCCTCACCTCATCCTAGGTTCCTGCCAGAAATGCCCCTCCCCATATGCGCCTGCACTTGGTGCCTCTGTGGACCCCATCCTGTCCCCCAGCACCCGACCCAAGGCTGTCGTGGGCGGCTGTGTCTGCCGCTGCCATGTCTGGCCCCAGCACCAAGGGCTGCCAGGCCTGTACCGGCTGGAAGTAACGAACGCTCCCGGAAGGGGCTTCGCAGCCCTGATCAGAGGTGGGCGCCCACCAACCTCCGCGTCACTTCCCAGACACTTCCTGGGTTCCATGGTCTCCCTGTTCCTGTCATCCTCAGTGACTGGAGGCAGTTCCACCACGAGCTCTAATTAATGCACTGGCTCCCGTTAGTCGTGTGAGCCAGCCCGGAGCTTCTGCTGTTATAAGTTAAGGGGCCACTGCATCTTTGTGTGTGTACCTTTCCTTTATTTTTCAATTTCTGATGAAGACCCCCCCCAACCCAGAGGTGACACATCTTCCTGTGCACCCCCTTAGTGATAAAACCTGCAGAGGACAAAGATACTGTGCTCACGGGCTGATTCAGTTGATACTAGAAAGAAGTCTGTCCTGTGTCCTCAGCATGTTTGCACACAGGATTTAAATCAACGTTTCCTAATCGCATTTGTCCCCATGCAGGCTGCCCAACCGGCCCGTCATTAACACCCCAGTGGTGAGTGCCATGGTATACAGCGAGGGGGCTCCGCTCCCGAGTCCCCTGGAGAGGCCCATCCTGGTGGAGTTTGCCCTGCTGGAGACAGAGGAGCGAACCAAGCCTGTGTGTGTGTTCTGGAACCACTCCCTCACGTAAGTGCCACACTAGGGTCGGGGCAGTGACCTCTTGCCACTGGAGCCTTGCATTTCTGTGTAAGGGCTTTGCTGAGGCCAGAGTGTACCCACATGTCCCAAAGACTCGGTGGAGCATCCCTTGGGGACCGTCTTTTGCAATCTGTTGCTTCCCTTCCAGCTGCTCATGGGACAGGAGACTTATCCTCCTGCTCTGCTTCTGGGGGCGTCAGAGCCTCTCCCACATGCACGCACACACATGCACACTGATGTACGCACATGGAGGCTCACAGACATGCAGACATGTGCGTGCATGCACACAGACATCCCTCAAGAAAGCTGACAGTGGAGATGGGGCTGCTCCCGTGCAGGACCCGGTGATGCAGCGGCCAACTAAGTGCACAGTTCACCCTGGAACAAGGCAAGGGCTCAGCAACAGGGCCCAGGAGCCCTCCTGCTGACAGTGGCAGCTCCCAGATAGGTGTGGGGGTCCCTGTGCCAGACGGGGATCCCAGACCTTGGCCTTGCCTGTGAGATCAACCACAGCACAGTTGCGGGGGTTTTATCCCCCAGATGCTGCACTTTAT